CCCAAAACCCCAAAACCCCAAAACCCCAAAACCCCATCAGTTATAATAGTAAGTTTGATAGATTCTCTAACTAATTAATTGATTTCAAATTTTAAAAATTATAACTCAAGAGTATAATCAGTAAATACTTAAGAGAGATAGCAAGCAAGTATTTAAGATATATTTTGTAGCAGTTGTTCATCTGTAATTCAATGACTTACTTAGTGATCTGAGCTAATTCAAATCCTAAGTTCTGTCCTGAAAACTAAATCCCAAAATTTCTATGAAACTCCGTAACCAGCCTTGCCATTTTTGTAGTGATGTTACATGTGGTAGATTTTTACATTTTTCCAGTAACCATCCTTAGGGGATGAATGGTGGATAAAATAATGTATAAGGTCGTACAAAATGTATCCAACTAAAGTTCCAGCCACGAAAACATTTTCTATGTGATCTGGTGTCAATGATTTAACTAATGGTGCAAGCAAAAGGTTCATTACAATATAACCTGGTAAAACTGGGAACACAAGTCTTAATGCATCTTGAGGGAAGGCATGATGAATTCCATGAAGTAAAAAATGAGCCACATAGGCAAAGTTGCTCTCTGGGAGCCAATAGTCTTCTCCGTGGAAGATAAATCTGTGGATGAGATACTCAATTAGGGTCCAGTTCACGATTCCAGCTAAAAGCCAGAATAGAGAGCTAAAAGCATCTAGTTCATTGAGCGAAAGCCAGTAGACTAGGAATGGCGACCAGGCGATTGGAATGGCATACCAAGGTGTTTTTGAGAATACTTCTAAATAAGGAGAATTGAAGAGGATTACATCTCTCACAGGGTTAATAAGATGCTTAGGTTCCTCAATAAACTGCACATACTCTTTCAGAGAGATTTTACTAGTCCAAAGCTAAAGTAATAGTCCCTTATCGTAGTTTGGATTCCAGGTACCTTGGAGCTGATATCCGTCTAATCCTTGTATTTATTTAGTGTTACTTCCGTTCTTTAAATTTGAATTAGACCCCTTGTCTGATGCTTAAGTGTCTGAGTCACTGTTTGCTCCACTGTTGTGCTTCATTAAGCCTACTTTGGGTAAATCATTGAACAAATTCCTTGCTGATTTTGTATGTTAGTTCTCCTCAAAGGGCTCATCAATGCATGATCCCAGATAAGGAACAATTAAGTCGGCTCCTCCAGGATGCTGTGGAAGATACTCTGCTACATCGTAAATGACGCCTTCAAAGATGACAAGCTTCAGGTTTGAGTTCTAATCCTAGTATTTCTTGACTTCAACTTCGTTTTGGAATGTCAATAGATTATCTACTCCAAACTTCTATTCTGAGTTATTCTGATTCTTATTGTAAACAGATGTTATAGACATGCTGATTTTTCTTTAATTTAGTATTATATAAAATCAAAGACATACGTCATATTCTTACTAATGGGGTTTTGGGGTTTTGGGGTTTTGGGG